CTTAAGCTTTTCAAAATCATCAGATACATAGTAATTTGTTCCATGCTCTTTTTGATTCTTTATGTTTCTTTTTAGATGTGTTGTTTATATACACCAAATTGTCAGGTTTTGTTTTCCCATACTTTCTATCATGGTTTTTTTTTTCCGTTTTCTGCCATGTTTTTTTCATTTAATTGGCTTGTTTAATCCATGCATATTTTAGATTATGATTATTCAGCCTGTGTTTTCTTCTTTGTTGTATTGCTTTTGTATTGATTTTTTTATTCTCTTCCTCTTGTCAATACTTTGTATGATAGTTTTATTTATGCCGTTTTGGTGCTCTCCATTTTCTTGCTCTTCTTTGAATTTAAATGAATAAGTTTATTTTGTACTCATTTTTCTCTCTCTTTTTGAATCTTCTCTTTTCCAGCTAGATTTGTGGTCCAAAATTTCCCATCTCATCCTCCCCTCCCACCTTTAATTTAAATAACATTATCTTCCAGCATCCTTTTCCAGTGAATTTTCCTTTACTTTGTCTTCCTTCTTTATTCTCTTCTTCTTGTCAGAATTTTATTCTCTAGGGTTTGTTTATTCATAATTCTTTCTATGGCTCTCAAGAGGGTAGAGTTTCAGAAGTACCAAATTGATCCCCTTCTTCTGTGTATTTGTATATACACACATTTGTTGATCTTATCCTCTCTTTTCCCTTCTTCCTTTTAGTTATCATTCTCAATTCATAAAAGAAGTAATATTCACTGGAACCTGCCTTGTTACATGGGATCCACTCTTGAGTCCTGAATCAGGAAGCCTGATTCTCCTCCCTGCCCGTACCATTGTCACACACCATTCCTAAGTCCAGATTATCTTATTTCTCTTTTATGTCTCCTTTTCCTCTACACTCTTAACACTGAAAATTCTTAAGGACTCATTCCCCTTAATCAGTAAAAAAGAATTTGTTAAATGCTTCCTGTGTGCCGGGAATTTAAACTTCACTTTGGGTAATACAAAATATAGAGACAAAAAGGGAACAATCTCTGCCCTCAAAGAGTTTACATTCTGTAGGGAGAGGCAGTGCAAGTGTGCGCGTACACACACACACATACACGCATGCATATACAAAGTAACACAAGGTTATTTTCCAGGTAGGGGAGCACCAGCACCTTGGGGGATCACATCTTCATAAAGAAGGTAGTTTTAAGGAGACATTTCTTGGGGGTAGGATGCAGTTCTAGTGGTATAAGACTTTCTTAGAGAAGGTAGCAAATTACTACCATTTTAAGTTCCCTTAACTTATACTATAGACAAAAATCTTTCTCTGGCTAGATGGCATAGTGGACAGAGTACTGGGCTTGAATTCAGGAAGACCTGAGATCTAGTTTGACCTCAGATGTTTATAAGCTGTATGACTGAGCAAATTATTTAACCTCTGTTTTCTCAGTTGTAAAATGGGAGTGATAATAATACCACCTGCCTCTGAGGGTTGTTGTGAGGATGAAATGCAACATTTGTAAAACTCAGCACTGTGCCTGGCACATAGTAGCTGCTATGTAAACGCTATTGTTGCTGTTTTCCTCTCCTCTTCAGTCATGATACCATCTTTTTTCTCTCCACTTCAGGTTCTCCCCTCCATTGCTTTTATTTTTTCCTACCATAGCCTCTGCTCCTTTTAAGACTTCAAAAGTTAAGGTACTTTTCTCTGGTCGTTGGGCAGGGGTAAGGAGTTGGAAGAAATGGCCATTTTTAACTCCCTTTCGTTTCTTATCTCCCCTCTCCCTATTGAGGCAACTTATTGTTATCCTTACTAAAATGCATGGATTATTATTTTTTAAAAATTTACCTCTTTCTTCCCCTATTCCCTGGTTCTTAAAGTTACCCTTAAATTTTTAGTTCCTTCTGTCCCTTGTTAATTTAATCCCTCCTTTTTTTTTCTATGTTGCAGTTGAATTTCTTTTTTTTAAACATTATCTCGTAAACACGAGAGAATTGATTTCATTATTCTTTGTAATTCTTCTTCTGCCTTTTTGATTGGAGTCTGCAAATCCAGTATTCTGTTTACTTCTGTTTGTGTTTGTTTTCTAGCAGTCCCCCAAATCTCTCTTGTTTGTTAAAGCTCCAATTTTTTTCATTGATGATCAACCTTAGTTTTGCAAGATATATTTCTGTGGGTTATATAGGTTGAGATCCTTTGCTTTTTTGAATATATTTTCTTATTTTCTTTGTTTTCTTCTGATTATGGTGAAATAATCCTAAACTATTTAATTTTTTTATCCATTTATCCATCTATTTGTTTATTTATTTATTTTTGCTTTTTGGTGAGGCAGTTGGAGTTAAGTGACTTGCCCAGAGTTACACAACTAGTAAATGTCAAATGTCTGAGGCTGGATTTGAACTCAGGTCTTCTTGACTCCAAGGCCAGAGCAATATCCACTGTGCCACCTAGCTGCCTCTGGCATTTTTTATATGATGAAAAAGTGATTGCTTGTTTATTGACATTATGAAATTTTACCATTACATACATATCTGGGGATTTTAAAGATGGTTATTTTTCTCTGTAAGTTATTTTTAGATTCAGTTGATCAGTACCGTTTATGTATTCAATAGTTCATTTGTATTCTCCTTTATAGTATTCAGGTTTCTTGATTTATTATGCTCTTCCTGAAGACCTGTGATCTCTAAGTTAGCATTCTGTCTTTAAGGCTAGTCACATATAGAATTAATGTGTTTTATCAGTGCTAGTGCCTCTTCTGTATTTTTGCATTCCAACTCTGCTGCTTTCTCTTTCAGAACCTCTGCTTCTTTGAAGAGATTCTCCATAATTTTTTTCCGTCTTTTTAAATTCTGCATTGAGAGCTCTGCAAATCTTATTTCACTTATCTTCTTAAGTCAGAAAATATAATATCTATGAACCTCCTACCTCTGCCAAAGAGTGGGGCAGAAGTATGCTTTTTCTTTGTAATTTTGCAGCCTTCACTTTTCATTGTTTTTTTGTAATATGCTAAGAGCTTAGACTATTACTGTAAATTTGGAACTGTGCCTAAAAGGCCATAAAACTCTGCATGCCCTTTGACCTAGCAAAGCATTACTAGGTGTGTATCTCAAAGAGTTTAAAAAAGGGGGGGGACAAATATGTATAAAAATATTCATAGCACCTCTTTTTATGGTAGCAGAGAATTGAAATTTGAGGAGATTCCCAAATTGGGGAATGACTGAAGTGATTGTGATGGAATACTGTTGTGCTATAAGAAATGAGGAGCAGGATGCTTTCAGAAAAACCTGGAAAGATTTATAAGAGTAGGTGCAAAGTGAAATGAGCAGAACCAGGAGAACGTTGTACATAGTAATAGCAGTATTGTATGATGATCAACTTGTCACTGACTTCAGCTATTCTCAGCAATATAGTGATGTAAGTGATGTAAGACAATTCCGAAGGACTCATGATAAAAAATGTTATCTACCTCCACAGAAGGTATGGTGGTGTCTGAATGCAGGTTGGAGCTTACTTGCCTTCTCAATGAGGGAAGGGGATGGAGGGAGAGAATTTAAAACTCTTTTTTTTGGGTGCATTTTCTTTCTTTTTTTTTTTTAATTTATTTATTTGAGTTCCAGATTCGCTCCCTTCCTCCTATCCTCCCTCATTGAAAAAGCAAGCAAGTGTATATAGGTTATACATGTGTAGTCATGCAAAACATTTCCATAATAGTCATGTTGTGAAAGAAAACATAGACCAAAAACAAAACTCAAGAAAAATAAAGTTTAAAATGTTTGCTTTCAATCTGTATTCAGACACCATAAGTTCTTTTTTCTGGGGATGGATAGTATTTTTCATTCTAAGTCCTTCAGAATTGTCTTGGATCATTGTATTGCTGAAAACAGCTAAGCCATTCAAAGCTGATCATCTTACATTATTGTTGTGGAACTCAGAATTTTAAAAAAGAATGTTAAGAATCTTTACTTGTAATTGGAAAAAAAATATTATTAGAAAATAATACTATTGCAAATAATAAGAAAGACAGGACCTGTCTTCAAAGAACTTACATTCGGGGCAGGTAGGTGGTGCAGTGGATAGAGCACCTGCCCTGAAGTCAGGAAGACCTGAGTTCAAATCCAGCCTCAGACCAAACACTTGACACGTACTAGCTGTGTGACCTGGGCGAGTTACTTAACCCCAATTGCCTTTAAAAAAAAAAAAAGCAAAAAACAAAGATGGGAGAAGATAACACAATCCAGGGAGCTGAAAAGGGGGGTAAGCTGAGTTTGAGGAGCATGTTAAATACCTGTCCATAGGCATGGTGTTGAAGTCCAGAAAGTCAGAAACAAATCCCAGGGAGAAACGCTCGGCCAAGAATGGGGAACCTGCAGCTCTGAGGCCATGTGTGGCCTCTACGTCCTTGTGTGCGGCCTTTCGACTGAGTCCAGGTTTTACAGAACAGATTCTTTTATTAAGGGGATTTGTTCTGTGAGGTTTGGATTAAGTCAAAGGGCCTGCACTTGAGGACCTACAGGGCCACAGGTAACCTCAAGGCCGCAGGTCCTTCACCCTGGCTGGGCCTCTATTCACAATGAGAGCTCTGGAGGAACTCACCCATGGGAAAAGAGATTCAGCATGGTGGAAGAATGTTTTCAGAGTGAGGAGACTTCACTGTAGTCATTGTGTATATTGTTTCCTTGGCTCTGCTGGTTATTTCTTCTGTTTGAGCCTTGTACACAAGTAATTTGGGGGTGGAGGTGAAGATGCTCAATGAAAGGAATCTTTATATTTAAATTAGGAGGTCTTTCCCTTGGTTGGCATTTGACTTATTTTGGTAAATCAGCCTATATATGGTTCATAATTCCTATTTCTAAGATTTTTGTGTTGGAGAAGTTTGCAGAAAGCGGTTAATTATTCATCTGCTGTAGTCTTTACTTAGAGTACCTGTATGCTACTTTGCAGTGACAGAAATGTGCTCAAGTATAATTTGTTATGTACTTTGTAGATGCTAAGTAAATTTGCTCAGTTTCTTTTTCTCTAATCTCTCTCATAGGAACATGATTCTGAACATCAACCCATGAAGCAGAATACTTATGAAATGGAGAAAGATATTGATAAATCAGGAGGTAAAAACTAAAACTTTCTATTATAGTGTAGTTGCCTTAAGTTTCAATTAAATAAAATGATCCATTTCTCTGAAACCAGACTTAGTATACCTGCCCCTTCACCTAAGAATAAATGCACTAAATTAAAATTATTAGTGGGTCTCTTTTATAAATTGCAGCTTTTATTGATATCCTTTGTTTTTATATCACTTTAATTCCACAATGAATCTCTTAACCCCCCCCCCACAGTAGTTATCCATTATTATAAAGAATAAAAAATAGAAAAATTAAACAACAAAACAAAAACCAGTTCAGCAAAATTTAAGCAGTGCATCAACCAAGTTATTGGTAGTCTATGTTCTTTACTTATGGTCCCTTACTTTTACAAAGAAGAGAAGGAGATACATTATCATAGCTCTTTTTTGGGGCCAGCCTTGGCTGTTAACAATTTTTCACAACATTCAATTTCAAATTTTATTTGTGTTTTTCCATTTACATTGTTGTAGTCATTATGTTTGTATGTTTTCCTGGTAGTGCTTGCTTGCTTCAGTTTGCATTGGTTCATATAAGGCTTCACATGCTTCTCTGTATTCTTCATATTCATCATTTCTTAGAACAATACTAATCAATTAATTCATGTAAGCACAATTTTTTAAGCCATTCTCCAGTAGATGGAAATCTACTTTGTTTCCATTTCTTTTCTCCTATAGAAGTAAACTTTTTCAGTTAAAGCATTTTCTTCCTTCAGTGGTGAAACAGTTATTTCAGGGGGGGATACCAGGAGGATTTAGTTATTAAAGTAGACTCCTTGCGGGTCTGACTTGGGGGAGAAACATTCTTTTCCAATTGATTTTTACCCACCCTCTCCTGGACAAAGGTACTTTGTCTGTAGGAGCTTGTTTCCTCAGGAATGAGGAAGAAAGATTGTGTCCTGGAATAGGTGTGAAGGAAAGAGAAGTGACTGTGGTTTTCTCATTTCCATAGGTACCTAAATGATTAAGAGATAGTAGACTGGAATTTGTTGGGCAGTTGCTTATTAAAATCTACCTATCTTTATTGCACACTAATAACTACACAGCAGATGAAGTGGAGGCTAGTGAGGAGGTGGAGATGCAAGAGCCTTATGTAGAAGCAATTTCAGAGCAACTTGCAGTAGGAACCTTTGAAGGTAGAATATGCAGCTTGTTGCCATAACAACATCTTTTTTGATCTGAAGGACTAGTCAGACTCTTCGTATGTTAAATGGCTAAACATCTTGTTCATGCTTGATTTGCATTTATGAATGGTAGAATATGACAAAAGCTTAGCCTTGGTTACAGACCTGTCAAGAAAGCTCTTTCTAATGTAGGATTTTCATAAAAATTCTGTTAACACGATTTTACAGGCTTAAAATTTCTACTCAGTGGGGTAATGAAAGTGTTGGTGACCTCTTCTTCCTGGATCATATCCTTGAGAAAGGGAAAACCTGTCCTCCTAAAATGGAAAATTGTGGGACTGACACTATCTGTTTTAGAGCCACACAGAGATGAAATATACAGTGCTATGTTTGCCCAGGTGCTTTTTTGAACTGTTAGAGAAAATATGAATTGATCACAGTTTAGCCTCAAGATGGTTTGATAAAACTTATTTTAATTCTTTATCAGAAAAAAGCTGGAGGTCCTCCTGCAATGAAGGGGAATCATCTTCTACCTCGTACATGCATCAGACTTCCCCTGGTGGGCCCACCAAACTGATAGAGATCATCTCAGACTGTAATTGGGAGGAAGATCGAAACAAGATCTTGAGCATTCTGTCCCAGCACATCAATAGCAATATGCCACCACAGTCCCTCAAGGTGGGCAGCTTCATAATTGAGTTGGCTTCTCAGAGAAAGAGTCGGGGTGAAAAGAACCCTCCCATTTATTCTTCTCGGGTGAAAATATCTATGCCATCATGCCAAGATCAGGATGATACCGCTGAAAACTCTGACTCAGAGACTCCCGATGGTTCACCATCACACAGAAAAGTAGATGATACCACCTTTGAACAGACAAATGCCCTAGAAGCACTGAGGGAAAAATTGCATGGAGGCAAAGCTCTGCCTTTCTATGCTGGACTTTCTCCTGCAGGGAAGCTAGTGGCCTATAAACAAAAACCCAGTTCAAGGACATCAGGACTAATAGAGGTGAGAACTATCTTTAATCTGTATATAACATTTGCTACTTAATTTGGAAAAATAAATCTGCTTTTATGACCCTTTGTGGTCCTAATGCTATTCTCATGTGTGGTAGCTGGGTGGCAAATAATCAAATCTTTCATAAATGAGGAAAGCCAGGCCTTGGCTAGAGGCATGAATTGGCCAAAATCACAGTGGAAACCAATAACAAAGCCAGAAATAGCTGTAGAGATAGATACCTTGCCCAAGTATTAGGCTGCATTTTCTTTTTGATTTTCCCATGAACTTCTTACTACGAACAAGATTAATTGGAGTGTAATCTGTACACTATAATTTGTCATTGATAATAGTCAATTATTAATCCATCTTTAGGATGGGGTATTTTATTGAATAGTTGCTTCGATATATTCATTCCTAAAATAGGAAATATACTTGCATGTTTTTAGATATTTAGGTTTTTTGTTTTTCTAGTGGTTTCAGGAACAAAAGAAGATGGACTTTTTCCAGTAGTTTTATAAGTTGATCGTGTGTCATCCTGACTTCTTAGCACCATAGGATACCTTCCCTAGTGTCATTTAGAACATAATTTTTGGGACATTGTAACAGCACTAATTTACCCATCTTATCCACTGCAAAGTAAATTAGACCAGATTTTGTTTTAGAAAAACTTAGAGATGGTGAATTCTCTAAGTAGAAACTGAAGGCCTAATCACAGGGCTATTTTTTCCTCAATATATCTACCTTTTAGCTGCTACTCATCATGTGAGAGAACCTATTTGCTACAGGCCATTGTTCTAGTCTTTGTGACATACATGAGGAAAATCATAGCCTGCAAATCCAAGCATACCCTGTCTAACATTGATTGCTTTTGCAAAAATATATTGTTAGGTGAAATGGGCAGTTGGTTCCATAGGAGCAGGATTCTGCACGGTCACTTTAAACTTTCATAACTTTATGGTAAGGTTTTGTTATAACTTATTATGTTTCTGAGAAACAGTTTGGATCAGTGGCAATGTTACATAGATGTGCCTGTGATAACTTTATAATTTATGGCTATTGAGTTATCTGAGTGCCTTATATCCACATTATTAACCGTTTCTCAGGAAGTGCCTCAAAGGAGAAATTGAGTATTCTATTTTACGCTAATGATTTTACAGATGGATAAATTTGAAGCAAAGTGATCTCTTGTTGAAGGTCTCATGCTATGAGATTCTTTTCCCTGAGAGCTGGTTACGGAAGTCTTTTCTTTCTCTAAGAATCATTAAACTATTTTGGGAAGCCAGCTTACTGTAAGCAGGTTTATCAGGCCAATATAATCTGCACTTTTGAAGTTATTGACTAGTCTTCAGGGGTTGTCCTTAAGAAGTATATCATAATCTGGATCTCACAAAGCCTAAAAAGTTACATTGAGGTTCTTGGTGAGAAAGAAAGATCTCATTCTTTGCACTAAACTTGAACTTTGCTGATGTAGTGTTTCTGGCATTGACCCAGGTTATTTATGTCAGTTGTCAGAATCTTTAGGACAGGGAATTTTGTTAGCCAGTTCTTATTTTTTCTTGTCACTCATTCTGTTTTGGTGAAGAGACAGGAGTTATTTCTCTAACTTTATAAATGGAAAAATGGAGGCACAAAAATAGTGCATCTTATTTAGAGTCACCTAACAAGTTGATAAACAATAGGGAAAGAAATATTTTGTTTCTTAACATCCAGATGTATATTTTTTCTGTGCTATCTCTTATGATAATGATAACCTATTTCTTTAACCTAGGTGGTAGGTTACTATATCCTCTTCCTAACTCCACCACTACTTACTTACTCTTGCTAGTTTGATTTTTCAAATGAGCTGGGTTGAATCTCAGCCAGTTGTCTTATTGCTAGCCCAGCTTTGTTAAACCTTGAGAAAATGAGGTATCATTCCTGATTTTTGACGACTAAAAACTGATTTGACTTAGCAGCTGAAGCTGTAGAGGGCTTACTTATTAAAGTGAGGTTGGACATAAGAGGTAACAGAATGAAAACCTTTGGTATCCTGCAAAAAAGAGCCTCAGTAGGATTTTATGGTACTCTCTAAAGGAAACTTTCAGGAGCATAACTCATTTCCCTCTTTCTGGCAATTAAATTATTGAAACATAGTTGATTGTTAGCAAGCAAAAATCCTGGTTGATTTGATATCATTTTCCCTCAATTGCAGTGCTGAGAAATAAACAGCATCTAACATTCTCTTTTTTCAGACTACCAAGTGAACACCAGAGACATTTAGGATATTTAGATAGCAGTATTCTCTCTCACCCCTTGATTACTCAGATCATCCTGAGTAAAAAGAATCTAATTTTCCCTTTTTAAATTTGAAAAAAAGGCCCACTGAAATAGTGTGTTTTTTTTTTAATAAGCTGCACTTGTCAAGGGAGGTGAGTTAGCAAGAGAATTTTATTTTTACAGAATTTCTCTTTGCCACTTGTTTCAGGTTAATGGTAAAAGTTACCCGCAGGCTAAGTTGCTATTGGGACAGATGGGGGCATTGCATCCAGCCAATAGGCTAGCTGCATATATCACAGGCAGGTTGCGACCCTCAGTCCTGGACCTCTCAACCCTCAGTACTGTCATCTCCAAGGTAGCATCCAATGCCAAGGTGGCTGCATCCAGGATACCACGCACCCAGGTGCCTTCGCCTTCCACTTCCCAAACGATGTCCTCCAGCACTACAACAGCCTCTACGATGACGACTCTGAAGGCGTTCGTCCCGGCACAGAGGCCAATTGGTAAGTTAGAACTCATTTGTCTTTCTATATGGTTTGTAGCTAAGTACTTCAAGGTTAGGTGCAAATAGAGATTAGGAGCAAGAGTTGTGTTCTTGATGTCTGTTTTGCACAATATTTTTCCTTTTTCTAGTTCTCTTAAGTAGTGTTATTTTTGATAATTGGTTGACCTAGAGCACCATATAATTTGAATTTTTACTAGATGTCATGAGCTGAACTTTGCATTTAGGAACTACCCTTTTTACAGGTTGTTTGCAGATCTTTTGGATCGCTGGGAATATTAGATTCAGCAATATTCTGTTAGACTCAGACATTGATGGTAGTGCTGATTGAGATCTCTGAATTGGCCAAAAGCTGGAGTTGTGCCAAGGAAGATGTGTTGTGTTCCTTGACAGATCTCATTTTCACTTATTAGGGAACAGCTTTAACTGATGTTAAAAATGCAGTCTTCTCCTGCCCTTTTCTCAAAAGGATATATGGATGGTTCAGGAATATGAAGGACTCTAGTCCTGACATTCAAGAGTCAGGCAGTGAAGGAGGTGGAGGTGCTGGGAGAGGAGGAAGATGGTGAAGAATATCTTGCATAAGAGTTTTAAGAGAAATCTCTTAGGTTCTCATGCTGCATCTGTTCCATGTGATAAGATTGTGTGCTGCTTTATATTGTCTTTCTAGTGTCACAACAACCTGAGTCTTTTATATGGCCAGAAAAAAATAAGTTCATTAGGCAGACTGAAAAAAGCCCTATTCTCTGAGTAGTGAAAGGGGGTTGGACATCGAAGAGAATTGCATTAAACTTTTATGGGTGGAAATTGGCATGTATAATGCAGGTAGGTGGTACCTGTAAGAAGATTGACCCAACAGTGCATAACAAATGTTAACAAACACAGTCACTCAGAGGGTGAAGGATGGGAGCCTGTTGAAATTTTTGACCTGCAAATTTTTATTTGCAGCAGTTCGACCCTCTCCTGGTGGTGTGTTCACACAGTTTGTGATGAGTAAAGTTGGAGCCCTGCAGCAGAAGATACCTGGCGTTAGCACACCCCAACCCCTAACAGGGCCACAGAAGTTCAGTATCAGGCCTTCTCCAGTAATGGTCGTCACACCTGTGGTTTCTTCCAAGCCATCTCAGGTGTGCAACCTTGTGACGGAACCAGTCACTACCACCACCCCTCAAGTATCTTTAGAAAGTATTACTACTGTGACATCTCCTGTGACTGCTGTTTCCAGCTTGGGAACTAAAGAAACTACTCATTCTCCTTCTGGCACCACTTCTGCAGGGACTGTTGAGATCTCTGAAACTAGCGTCAGCACCCCTATTACACCCACCCTGCCTTCAATCACTGTGAACGTTACCAAAGCTACTGGGATAGCTGCCCCTATAACTACCATTGCTTTACCTAAACCTATAGTATCTTCACCAACCGTCACTCTTCCTGTTGCTTCCACTGCCTCCACCTCTGTAGTCATAGTGACCACAGCTGCATCTTCTTCCGTGGTGACCACACCAACTTCATCTCTTGGCTCTGTTCCTATTATACTCTCGGGAATTAATGCGAGTCCACCAGTGAGCCAGAGACCAGGTAAGGCCTAGATGCTATTAGCTGATTTGCTGTATAAATGCTGTCATCACTTTTTTGGTTTGGTTGTGATAGGATTGTAGATGTGTCAAGTGAGAAAGTACAGAAAATGGAACGCCTTAATAGGAGTGGACCCCCACAAACTCATGTCAAATGCTTGTATTCAACTCAAGGCAGCAAATGACAGAATGTTTTAACTTTTACTTGTTGACTTGGTCAGATGAATTCTTAATGGGAATTTCTTGTTTTCTGTTATTAACTTTTTATCTAAAACATTTGATCAGCAAGTATTGATTAAGAGCCTGCTCTGTGCTAGACAGTTGCATGTGATTTGTTTTATTCAGAAGAGAAGTAAGATGGTCAAAGTAAGGATCTTTGAAAGATGTGTGTCTTGGTCCTGTTCACGCTGGGTCCACTGCTTCTCGTGGTAGCACTTCTACTTTAGTTTCTGGTTTTTTTCCTTCCACTGAACAAATCTTGTTTTGAATTTAGCTCATATTCCTGATGGTCCACTAAAATATGACTAGCTAAAGGGGTCAGTGATACAACCAGAACCAGAATGGTGGGGGTATACTCCTGTTTGTTTGTTTGTTTGTTTGTTTGTTTGTGTTTGTTTTTACCATATAATAATAAGAAAATATAGATAGTTATAGGTCTGTATCTATCTATAGATAGCTGTCTGTCTGTGTGGATGATAGTTTAGGCATTGAAGTTTGGGAAGTGGAGTCATTGGTTGAATGTTTGTGGAGCCATAAAGTAGTGATAATACAGATTCAGCCACCTGAACTCTCCTGTGACTTCTTCTGGTGAGCCTCTCTCAAACATCTAGATTTCCTCCCTTCCCCCAATACATAGAAAAGATAAAACTTTTTATAGGAGAAAAGAAGCTGTACATATAATTTCTTTTCATGGGAACATTTTAGGTTTTGAATAATTTACCAGATTAAAGTGAAACACCAAGTAAGTAATGCCTAATGATATTTTAAAAGTTTGTAAAATTATTTCCCTTTTGCATAGGAAAAACCACTTTTTTCCTTTCTGTACAAATTTGTGTTCAGATTCTAATTAGTTGGGGCTTTTTTTTTTGTTTGTTTTTTTGGCCAAGGTAGGTCTTGTTTCTATAATGTACAACTTCTTTGACTAATGTAAATCTTAAGGATATGGTTCTTCTTTTATCAACTTGGTTGTGTAATGTGTGGAACAAGCAGTTCTGATGCCGGTCATTATTATTGATTCTGGTTAATTTAAGTTCCTACTACATAGTAGTGGGTTTATGTGAATATACTTTTAAGGCAAATACACCAATCTTAAATGGTTTTGTTGGTTACTAGAAGTTTTCTACTCTTCTCTATCCTTGTAGCTAATTACATAACTTCCCTTTTCTTTCCTTAAGACTAATTTTGTGTCTAAATTTATCCCATAAGTTTAGACATAAAAATAAAAGCTCTTTCATAATGTTTTTTAACTATTTTAGGTCACTTGTACTTAAGTATTATAACAATCTCTACTGTTTTTTGCTTGTTTTTTAACATCATATCTCACCTTTTCCTGTCCAGCCTCTGTGTAGCTTTCATTCCCTTTAGCTCTGTGGCTTCATTTGGATTACCCCCTGGATTCTATTAACAGGTGGAGTCTTCCTTTTTTACCCCTTCTGAAAATATTTATTAAATATCTTAAAACTTCTGCCCACTGTTTAATGAATTATGAAATCAGGCACCTTTTACAAGTCATATTAGTGCCCCTGGTTTCATCTGATGTGAATTTGAACCAAGTATGTTTCTTGTGATTTTACAACATTACCAGCGTGCTTGTACAGTGCTGCCAAGCTTCAAGCAGTACTTCACACTAAGAGTAGTGCAAGTATGAGGGATTTATAAATTCTAAATTTATAAAAATAATTTTATGTATTATTAATTTTATCATGTTATATATATTTATAAATATAAATATATATTTATTATATATTATTATTCATTTATAAAAATAATATAAAATTTTTATATAAATTCTGAATTTTTCTGGAGTGCCCAAATTGTATATAGCTTTGTCTGTGTTTCTTATAAAGCAGAATCATTATCCCTTATTGAATTGTCCTTCCTAACATTAGATAATTCTTCTTTTAAACATTCTAAATGCATTTTTCTAGCAAAGTCTGTAACTTTTTAAATTTAAAATTATATCTAGAAGGCAATTTTTTATAACATAACAGAGCCATAGTTCTGTGAAGGGTCTATCTAGAGCTTTAGGATTTTCCCAGTTTCTTAATTTAAGCATCTTGAAAGGCAATTTGCAGTTGGATTAGAACCCATGGCATTAATGGTTTCTGTTTGTGGGGAAGGAAGGTTGGGATACCATGTGTCTATTCCTTGTTTTTCAGAAAGTGCTGCTCAGATTCCAGTGGCTACCTCTCCAGTCTCTCCTAGCCCAGAAAAGCGTGCTGGACCTCGACTACTCTTGATCCCTGTGCAGCAAGGTTCTCCTGGTCTTCGACCCCTCCAAAACATGCAACTTGTTCAGGGTCAGAGGATGCTCCTACAACCTGTCAGGAGCCCTAGTGGAATGAACCTGTTCAGACACCCCAATGGTCAGATTGTCCAGCTTGTTCCTTTGCAACAGGTGCGGGGCTCTAGTACACAGCCCACCTTACAGCCTGTTATGCTTCGGAACCCAGGTACAGGAGTCATTTTCATAAACTTTTCTCTCACCGGACAGTTCCTGTTTTTGTTTTTTTTTTTTTTCCTCCTCTGAAATTAGTTGAATGGAATTAGCTCTGTATATCTTGTTTGGAACAGAAAAGTATTTATTAGGTGCTTACTATGTGCTAAAACACTATGTTGAGTACTGGAGATATAGCTAGAAAGACAGGGGAGCAGCTAAGTGGCACAGTGCTCTATCGAGCACTGACCCTGGAGTCAGGAGGACTTGAGTTCATGTCCAGCCTTAGACACTTAACTAACCCTGATTACCTCCAAAAAAAAAAAAGAAAAAGAAAGTTAAGCTAATCCCTGCTTTCAAGGAGCAGATGTTCTAATTGAGAGAGACCACACATTAAAAAAGGGTCATATTTATGTTCATTTCATGGCAGATGAAAGGTCAGGTAGAACTTTGTCAAAGAAGGGAGCAAATTAAGACACTGGGGATCCAGATTTTGTTATAGTGAGTGAAGTGCATATTCGTTGAATCTCTCAGAAAGTGACATGTCCTATATAAGAAAAGAGACTCTATTTGGGGAATGACAATTTGTCATTTCATTTTTCTTGTAGGGTCTGCAGTAGGAATCCGCTTACCTGCACCTTCCAAACCTCCTGAAACAACACCTTCTTCTGCCTCTCCTTCAACTTTCTCAACCATGAATCCCATGATTCAAACTGTTGGCTCTTCTCCACCTATGAATTTAATTACTCAGGCATCATCTGTGCTTTCCACTGTGCCTAGCTTTGTGTCTCAAGCTGGTACTTTGACCTTGCGGATATCCCCTCCGGGAGCAGGCAGCTTTGCAAGTCAGACAGGCTCAGAATCCAAAATAACTTACAGCTCAGGTGGGCAGCCAGTTGGCACAGCTAGTCTCATTCCTCTGCAGTCTGGTAGTTTTGCTTTGCTGCAGCTTCCAGGACAGAAGCCAGTTCCCAACTCAATTATTCAGCATGTTGCTTCACTGCAGATGAAGCGAGAGTCTCAAAATCTGGATCATAAAGATGAAACAACTTCCTTGAAGCAGAACAGTCATAAAAAGGCTTTACGTTCAAAAGAGGGAGTTGTCAGAGAGCCAGAGAATGATTTAGGACTGGCAGCAGAATTACCTGGTAGAACTGAGGTACCTTTGACTGATACAGTAAAGCAAAACCAAGCTGCTACTGCTTCTGAGGTAGCCCAGAAAGATCTCCAAGAAGGTGGGGGTGGTCCTTCAAGTAAAGATCCCCTTTTACAAGAGGACATTCCTGCTGATGTCATATCCTCAGACCACTCCTATATCAGTGGGTCACGGGCAAATGAAAGCAATAAAGAAGTTGATGAAGCGAAAGAGAATTGTAATCTCAGTGGTTCAGAAGAAAAAATGAATGAGATTCTAGAAGATAAATGTATTCCCCAAGAAGTCAAAAATAAAGCAGTTCAAACAATGAATAATGTACAGCTGAAAAGCTCTAATGTTCAGGGAGAGACGTCTCAGCTGAGAAACATAAATGAGGAGCAGAAAGGTATAAAGAACCCAGAAGAAAAACTGATGAACAGTGACCTTTTAACTAGCTCTAAGGAAGACAAATTATCCAGGAGTAAAGTGGTGCAGGAAGAGGTGACAATACAGCCTGAAGCAAAAGAGAAGGATTGTGTGACTTCCATAGAGAAAAAAGACTCGACAAGAGAAAGTCAGGAAAACCACCTGAAGGAGAATTTGATCCAGAAATGCGATGATATTTCAAAAGAACATGTGCAAGCTGGAGATGAGCATTTGACTGAAGAAACTGAAACAAGTCAGGAAAACCCTAACGTTCTTGGTCAAAAGCAAGGCTCTTCTGGCTTATTGGAGGAAAGTGAAATTGGTAAGAGCACTAGAAATTTTAATGTCGAGTCTGATACTTGGAACAAGATTCCTAATTCTTCAGCCTTTTCCATTGTTCCTCAAATGGTTGAGAGAGCCGAAAAAGGGGATAAAGTTGTCCAAGGTCATTTGCTCATACCAGGAGAACAAATACAACAACATCTAAAGCAAAGGAAGAAGGGTGGGAGAACCATTGTTGACCTCCCTGTTTCAGATGTGGAAGAAGAAGAGGAAGAGGAGGAGGAAGAGGAGAAAACTGATGATTCTGCTGATGATATGGTTGATGGCATCTCTGACTACCAGAGTGAAGAAGTTGAAGAAGTAGAAAAGGTGGTAAGCCCCTTTTTGTTTTAACTGCAAAGTTTCTAGAATTCAGTAGTTTGATACAACCAGTAGCCCTTCAGAGGATCACCAAGACCTTATTGATATCTTCAATTAGGTGTTTAGACTTAAGTCATAAGTAAATAAATTATTTTTCTATTTTTAGTTTCCATACTGTCAGGCAACATGTACAGATTGCTGACCATATTAAGAGCACATTTTTGACACTTGTTTGAATATCTGAAATGGTTGAAAAATAACTTTGGCTCTCTTGAGACTTTGTGGTAATAGTCACACTAACAAATTATGTTTTAATTTTTTTCAAACCATTATTCTATTTAATATGATTGAGGTTCAGTACTGTTCTCTATAGGAGCCTCAGTGTTGATATCACAGCTGTGTTAGCATAGAACCCACCTACCTCCATTTCTATTAAATGAGTCCTTTTTACATTGGAATATGTATTTTTAAAATATGAAGTAACCATGTTTAAAGTCTTTTTAACTTAATCTGGTCATAATGAATTTTCACCTCTTTCAAAAACAGATCTTTGTCTCTCGAATTCTTACTCTTTAATCACATTTCCCTGTAACTTAATGTATTTTTTAACCCTTTTCTTACTAAACAGTAGGTAGCTGCCGTAGTGTCAAATTTAGGGGGCTTGCATGTAGCCTGAGATTTTTCTGAATGACCTTTAGCTGTCCACCTGGATTTCACCATCCCCACTCTATCTTTCTTCTTTTAGCATTGTTACCTGGTTACCCTAAATATACTCTACTTGAAGCTTTTTCATTCACCCCTTCTCTGTTATTCACCCATACCCTGCTGTCACCTTTTTTGTGTTGATATAGCTCTTTATTTTCCTATTTGAAAATTTAAGCATATTTGAGCAAGAATAAAAACCATACTTAATTTTGTGGGGATGTAGGGAACTAAGCTTAAAATAATTAAGTACTTCAGGAATCTGTAATTTTATCAGCATGGGTCCTTAGTGCATTGAAGCAGGTTGCGGTCCCTCTGTGACATAATAAATGGTGTTCAGAAATTTTCTTTGACCAGAGAATTAACCATTATGCAGCATGGTGATGAGCCTCTCTAAACTTGAGTAAACTTCCTCAGACAACAGATGGACAATCAGTCAGTAAACCCATAATTGAAATCTGTTAAACTTGTTAAGCTCTGCCAACTCCACTGCTATAACCTAAATCACCACTGTGTTGTAGAGATATTGGAGTAGGATGTTAGTGAAATAAAACATTCAGAATGTGTTTATGCCAATATCTTATTATGATTCAGCTGTTTGCTATCGCTTAGTCGTCTCCAGTGGATTACAATGAAGTTGAAAGACAAGTTTCTCTAATCCAGTGACCCTGGAGTCTGTATTATTGGAAATAGTAAGCTTTTTGTGGAGTCTTCTGTTTTAAGTAGTACTAAATTTAAAAAACAAAACAAGAATAATCTAGCTTTTAAAACCAGCAAATTGTTGTAGCTAGTAACATTGTATAACAGCAACATGTTTGCTCTTTTGGCCAACCTACCAAAAAAAAAGATGGTTTTGCATGCACTATTTTTCTTTTTTTGCATGTGTTTATATCTGATGCTCACAATATTTCTCAGCTGACATTTTACTGTTGGAAGAATGTGGTGGTTGTCTTATCCTTCCCTTATTTAAATCCATTTCTGGAAGGTATGTCAGTTAGCGTGCCCAGCAGAAGACATCCATTTGGTATTTGGTAGATAAAAAAACTTCTAGTTTAAATTACATATGGCATCTGGCACATCCCTAGGCAACTACCAAGTGTTGACTTAGTTGTTAGATTATATCACTGTTTCCCTTTTAGCTTCATGGAATTCATTGCTTGTTTGAGGTAGTTAGATCTCCTGTATATCCAAGTTATAAAGGGTGTGAAGTAGGCTTTTTAAGAGCAATAGAGTAGCAATGCCTCTTGGAAGAGCTCCATCCCCAGAAGAATTTTTGGTCAGGGTGGAAGGGTTGGTGTTCATTCAGAAAAGGGCACTTAGACTGCTTTCTTAGGTTGAACAGCAAAACAAATCAGTAATTACTTTATGATTGTGGAAAACAAGTGTTCAGTAACCTTGCTTTTGTCTGCCAAGCTGAAGGAAGAGTCTGGCTTCTGTTTCACTCATTAATAGTGGCAAGTTCAGTGGGGTTGGAGAGGGTATGATGGAATAAATCTCAACAATTACAGATTTTGTTAGGCAGTTAGAAGGTACTGCTTAATTTGAGTTATACTCATGCCTGACACTTTATAGAGAAGTTTTAAATAAGTCTTCCTTATTTCTGTTGTGAGAAATAACTGTTTTGAAAGCTAGAGAATGATGATAACATCTGGTTATATAATACTTTATGTTAGCAAAGCACTTTCACTTTATCTTGTTTTGAGTCTCACAACTCTGAGGCAGGAAGAAAAAATAATTTTTCCCATTTTGCAGCTGAAGAAACACGTTTTGGGGAGGAAGGTTTAAGTGATTTAACCAATGACACACAATTAGAAAGTGGCAAAGCCAGGATTCAGACTTGATTTCTGACTAAAAGTTAGTTGTTCTTTTCATCGCACTGCACCAAATCTTTTAATATAGATGCACCCTATACTGATGTTAAAATGACTGTATCGTATACCATTTTAAGTACAATGTTGTATGCATAGTTTGCTCAGTAAATTCTTATAAATTGACATGACATAATATAGTAGATAATTCAGTATAGAACTTGTTTTGGAATCTGAACTTTTTCAAAAACAAGCAATAGGATTGAAAAATGTGCCAGGTGTTTTATTCTGGTTCTGTAGATACTTTGAGAAAGCCTGTCATGCTTTGTGATTGTCCAGCATAACATTTCACTTTAAACCGATCCTTGATTGCTGAATTTTTTTTCCTTAAAAAATCCTGAATCAGACTCTTGCTATTCTTGTGAGGTTCATTTAAGTTTTTAAGATTACCTTTCATAAAAATTAGTATTGGCATGAGTTAGGTTATGTAGTCCTTTGAGACTCAGATTTTTTTTTTCAGTCTGAAGATCTGTGTCCTGATGTGACAGTAGCTAATAAGTATCTCTTATAGGTTGAATTGCAGGCTGTCCAGTCTAATCACCTTTTTTTCTAAATGAAGAAACTGAGGTCCATGGCAGTTAAGTGACTTGCCTAAAGTCTGCAGGTAGTGAGAATCAGAATCAGGATTTGAACCAAGGTCCTCTGACTCCCTGCTGTGTTGCACTGCTTTATCAAGCTTAATTTCATGATGGGAGAAATAATCTGAAAGCTCCAGATTTGATCTGTTTTAGCTAGTATATAGCTTACCATTTAAAATTACTTATTTCAGAATAACTCTATGGATTACACTGAAGAAGAAGAGCAAGTAGACATTGAAACTGTTGAGGAATTTTCAGAGAAAATTAATATTGCTCGCTTGAAGGCCACAGCTGCTCATATGCGTTCTTCTAAGCAACTGTAAGTTTTTCTCCTTAATTTGTTCTTCAGTAATTTTAATTTAATGTCATATTTAGAAACTTTGGGTAACTGTCCTGGTTTCTTTCTAGCCTCTTAGCTTTGTTCTAGATAATAGAAGAATATGAGTTAAAATTCAAAAGGTATACTCCGTTCTCTTGAAATTACTAAATTATGAATTTGCTCACTGTTATGCTTGTCATTGTTTTACAACTACCTGTCTTTCTTCCTGGAGAGGGAGATATATGAATTCTGTATATTAATCTTATTTAGATTTATACAAAACTCCTATAAAATAGCTCAAGGAATTTTACATTAAATTTTGAAATTAATAGTAGATAACATTTTAGACTCAACCACAAAATGGAAAAATAGGAACAGTTGGTTAGTAGTACAGTTATTGAAAGAAAAGTTGTGGAAAATGACAAATTGGAGCACAAAAGAAAAAGCAAAGGCAGGTAAACGTAACATTGAGGTGAACAGATAATTAGGCAGCAGACAGAGTTTCTTATGAAAAAAAGTTGGTCTTTCAAAAGTCACAAGTGGTTTTTAGGGATATGCAGTGAAGACTGCCTCTTGTGGATTGTCTTCTAGGTTAAGCACACCATCATTTCCTACCTATGTTTCCATTTTATGTAGATTACATAGCACAATACTTACTTCATAGGTAGAGAGACCTAGGATTTCACTGATATAGGGTTGTCCTGGATGAGAAGTGTCTTCTCTGCCATATGTGGACTGAGAGTGTTGCCTTAGTGGTTAGATAACTTACCTAGGGCCATATGTTATGTCACAAGGAAGATTTGAACTCAGGTCTTCTTGGCTCTAGGGCCAGTTCTCTATCCCCTACTTTATAGCTGCATCTCATCTCCTCTGTGCAGAAAAGAGAAAGGATAGGACTTTAGATGAGCAGCTTACCCCATCTTCTTTTTCATTGAGCCATATTTTGATAGGGAATAGAGAAAGCGCAACAAACCTTCTTTAACTGCATTTATTTCCCTCTTATCATCATTAAATGCATTTCAGTAAATGATACCAAGTGTCTACCATCTATAAGACACTGCTAAATTTTAGGTGTTCAAAGATATAAATAAGAGTCTTCCCTCAATGATATTACATCATACTGGTGGGGTATATACAATGTCTACGCTAATGAATATAATACAAGCAAAATTTGGGAAGAGAGCACATATTAGTGTTGGGAACTTGAGAGACTAATAGTTTCTTTTCTCTCCAAAACTGTTTATGAATTGCCTTAAGAGTGGACATAATTCAAGTATATTGTAAATGCAGTGTAATTTGATACGATTTCAAGGTGTATTCAAGTGTTTTTACATTTGTATTTATTAGATAAGAGGTGCCAGAGAACTGTTTCAATACAGATTTGCTGTCATATCATAAAATTCCAATTATACAGTGTTGGGAAATGACTCTGTCTACCTTTTCAGGTGCCATAGCCATGTTCCTTCAGAAGAGAAAGCACCTGAGAAGAGTCGAAAGGTCTGTTCAAATATATATTCTTTCTTTCTTTCTTTCTTTCTTTCTTTCTTTCTTTCTTTCTTTCTTTCTTTCTTTCTTTCTTTCTTTCTTCCTTCCTTCCTTCCTTCCTTCCTTCCTTCCTTCCTTCCTCCTTCCTTCCTTCCTTCCTTCCTTCCTTCCTTCCTTCCTTCCTTCCTTCTTTCTTTCTTTCTTTCTTTCTTTCTTTCTTTCTTCTTTCTTTCTCTCTCTCTCTCTCTTTCTCTCTCTCTCTCTCTTTCTTTCTTTCTTTCCTTCTTTCTCTCTCTCCTTTCTCTCTCTTTTTCTTTCCCCTTCTCTTTTTCTCTTTCATTTTCTCTCCCTTTCCCCCTCCTTCCCTCCTTTCCTTCCTTATTAGTAGAAATGAAGGGCCAGGTACATACTTGGGTCTTTGTTGAAAGTTTGTTATTCATTCTTTATTGAAGGCAACTTGGCTGGCTGGTATCCTGTCAATACTTTGAATGAATAAGTGTCATGCCATAATGAGTTCTTTACTTACGGTTTTCCCACAATTGTTGCTCTGCATTTTTGTGAATCTTAACATTACAATATAGCCTTCTTACATATCTCAGCCCCACTCTTCCCAATGCAGGGGTGCACACACACCATTCTCCTCATGCTACAGCTGCTTCTTCCCCCCCCCCCCAAAAAAAAAAAAGTTTGAGTCTATCAGAGAACTGATTTCCTACCCTAGTTCCTAAGGGTAACTTTTTTTTTAAGGCAGTTGGGGTTAAGTGACTTGCCCAGGGTCACACAGATAGTTAAATGGCAAGTGTGTGGTCTGAGACTGGATTTGAACTCAGGTCCCACTGACTTTAGGGCCGATGCTCTATCCACTGCGCCACCTAGCTGCCTACTAAATATTCTTAATAAAATAAAATTGAAAATAGCTTTTTTAAGAAACAAAGATCTCTATCTCTTTCTTTTCTGTGTACTCATCTGCATCTAATATTTTTAATGGTTTTTATCAGGTAGATACTCGTAGGTAAAAAGTCAAAAATTCTTGTCCAGGTTTCCATAGGGCAAGGCTCATGGAGTATAATTACATCATCATACCTTCTTCCTGGTGCTATACAGAGAGGGATTTCATATCAATTTATTTCTCACCTATCACTCCCAATTGGCATTCTCTCAGTATTCTCTCTGCATCTTAAAGTTACAGTTATGTGGTAATCTGAGTTCCTATATGGCTATTAAAAAGACAGTAACAGACCCAGTAGTCTCTGTAAAGCAGCCATTCTAAGGAAGGTTTACATTTCTCCCTGCAGCCAAAAATTTTCAGTCACCTTAAAATAGTTTAAGGGTACATCAAGTCCACAGTACATTGTATATACATCTTACTACAAAATTTACCACCTGACAGGATGATATGCATGACACTCATACACAGAGAGAAGAAATACATTATTAATATGCATTTATGAAACAGTGCAGCATTATAAATAAACATTGCATTACATGTAGCTAAAGAAGTAACCATTTCTCCTGAAATACCTTTATATAACCTATTTATAGGTTAGTGTAGGCCTGAGTCTCTTGACCTATTGATCTCTACCTAACCCTAATTGATGTTATAAAGTTTTATGTTATAAACTCATCATCCATCTTTGTCTTTGCACCTTTCAGTGAGCAAAACTGCCAGAATTTGAAAGGAGTACACCCTTAAAACAGGAAAAATGTCAGTTCAGTGGTATAGTTTTGGTTTTCCAATTAGGTCTCAATGCATTTGGATGAGTTAGTTTAAAATTTGGTTGATGTGTCTATTTTTGATTTTGATAGGACCCACCAATTCCTGTAAAACTGAAACCTGAATTCTGGAGTGAAAAACTACAAAAAGAAGCAGAAGCTTTTGCTTACTATCGCCGAACACACACTGCCAATGAACGGCGTCGACGTGGTGAAATGCGGGATCTCTTTGAGAAATTGAAGATAACATTGGGTTTGCTTCATTCTTCTAAGGTCTCCAAAAGCCTCATTCTCACAAGGGTGAGTATTCTACCCAATTGGTATTTATGGATTGAGCCCAAAGGGTATTTCCAGAGAGATTAAGAGGAGGATTATTGACTACCTTCTGATAATCTCTGGTAACTTTGGATGGATGTAGTTTACATTCAGAAGTAGGCTATTGAAAATCTAATCACTGAAGCACAGTGATATTTTCATGTTTGGGGAATTTTCATTTGTTCCCAAATGGCCAGATTATCCCATAATTGAATGAAGTTAAGAAGGGAAATGATTCACAGAGGGGATCACATTCTCTCTACTTCATAATTTCCTACAATATCAAGTACTTTGCTGTATATAAAATATATTAATAAATGTTTGGAAGTAATAAGGAAGAAGGAGAACAGTTTCCCTATGTTAGGTTATTGAGTATATCCTATTTGTGTTAACATAAGAGGATCTTAAAGTCTTAAATCATAGAGGTGATCTAGCACAGCTTGTATGAAGGCATTAGAACATTTTAGTCAAAGTACTTTCTCCAGATTCAGTTTAACAGTTGAATAAGTACTACTCTATAACATATTAATAGTTGTGGGTTTTTTTTTAAAGAAAAATTATGTTACAGCCTCAGGCACATGATACTTATTAAGTGTGTGACCCTGGGCAGGTCACTTAACCCAGATTGCTTCGCCAAAAAAGAAATAATATGATAAAAATCTTTTAATATGCAAATAGAGTGATTTGGTGAGTTAAGTCACCGATTATGAAGCCATTTTAATTGTAAAAGCACAGTTAAACAAATTGATGGCTTTACAGTAGTGTATTATTAACCACTGGCTGGATCTGCCGAATGAGTACCCCATAGGAATAGTTCCTTGTCAGTATGATATTAACCATCCAGTGATATACTTTGGAAATAACAATAATGATCAGGGCTTTGATAATATAAAGCATCTAACCATCTGTAATTTTTAAAATGAACAAAACCCTTCAATACTTTCTGGATTTTTAAAATGACATCTTAAAGTTTTCTTTCATGCGTGACTTTTAATATTTCTCTATATTGATTATATAATGGCAGACCTCACCATAAAACATAATAGGAAACCATTCTAAAGAAAGTGAATTTGACTGACGTTGTGGGATTACTTTTCTCCTAGGCCTTTGGAGAGATCCAGGGACTAACAGACCAAGCAGACAAATTGATAGGGCAGAAAAACCTCCTAACTCGAAAACGGAATAATCTGATCCGCAAAGTGTCTTCTCTTTCAGGTAAGGCTTTTAGATGGGGAAGAAAAGGAATAGTAGCTCTAGGAAAGAAACAAACCTTGGCAGATTTCAAGTATTTTGAGAGATTTGATGTGTACTGGCTTTAACTCATGAGGAAATTTCTTCAGAGGTGTAGTCAGTGCTGCTTTACAAAAGCTGTTCTTGCCTGTGTGACGAAGCAAATGGATTTCAGTTGCTGTTTCTCATTTTTATCTGGGCCATAGATAGTGAGAGAAGATTGCTTAGATTCTTTTTAACATATAGGTAAGACAGAAGAAGTTGTCCTGAAGAAGCTGGAATACATTTATGCCAAACAGCAAGCATTAGAAGCACAAAAGAAAAAGAAGAAGATGGACCAGGATGAGCCTACTGTGCCCCCTCGAGCAGTCAAACAGCAGGAAGGAGCTTCTACATCCTCTGTAGAGCTGGGGCAGGTGGTTATGACCAGCAGACGAGGGAAGCCATTAATACTCGCCAGGAAAAGAGCACCATCCACAGGTAGGAAGTGTGTTTCATGATCATTTCAAGAATGCTATAAAAAAAATCTAAGTTGCCGAACTATTACCTTCTCTTGGCTTTTGTTTGCTCTTCTGTTAAATATACTAAAAAACAAAATTGTGTATCCAGTTATGTTATATGATAAATTTTAAGTGTTTCCTCTTCAGTATATATTTAGAGGAGAATTTATTTACCAATCCCGATCAAATTCTAAAAAACTTACATAATTGATAACTAAGACCTGCCTTTTATACAAATCTAAACTGATATTTTGAATATTTGATTTCAACCAAGGTGGCATAGTGGTTGAAAACAAAAGGCCATACCCCAAAACAAAAACCCAGTCTGTGATTAGAGCATCATTTATCTGCTAATTTGAAATGATCACAATGTGAGAAAAAGATTCTTAGGATACTGATTTCAGACTTTGGCTACATTCAGTTCTTGTTCTGGTAGCTCTATCTCTAAGTTGGGTTCCTAGTACTTCTAGGTATAGCTTAGATAAATGGCAACCCAAAAATATAATTGTGATTTAGGGAGGAAGATGATTTTTTACTTAAAACTTCTATTTGCTACTCATTTTCTACCAGTAGGAAGCAAAATGGACTAGTTTGAGTTTCTGTTCCTTCTTCACTCTAAGGTACTATGAGACAACTAAATTAAGAAGGAAAGAGCAAACTAATCAGCCACTTAGTAGCTAAAATTTGTCCAAAGCTATATAGTTAAATTGAACTTTTTGATGATTAATGAGTAATAAATATGGTTGAAAACATGTTGTTGAATCCTGAGTAAGACTTATTTTCACAAGTTGTCAATTCATAGAATTTTATAGCAGGATGGGACTTTAGAGATAATGTAGTCCATCCTCCATGTTTTAAAATTAATAAACCATGGGGCAGCTGGGTGGTGAGGTGGATAGAGCACTGGCTCTGGAGTCAGGAGGACCTGAGTTCAAATCTGCACTCATGCACTTGACAGTTAACTAGCTGTAGCTGAAACCCCAAATCAGTAACTGTTTTGTGGCAGGTCTAGTGCTAGAATCCAGATTTACCGACTCAGTGTCATTGCTCTTTCCTCTGTACTTAGAGGCAGCTACCTGGTGTAGTGGATAGCATGCTGGACCTGGAGTAAGGAAGATTTGTATTGAAATTTGGCCTCAGATGGTGGTTGTGTAACCTTTATCAAGTTCCATAACTGCTGCCTCAGTTTTCTCCTCTGTAAAATGAGGATAATGAAAGCACCTACTTTTCAGGGTTGTGAGGATAAAATGAAATATTTCTAAAGCACTTTGTAATCCTTAAAGAACTATGTAAATGCATGCTTGCTATTATACTATATTACCCTAGATTTCCATAAAGGTTAACAAGCTGATGTTTTGATTATCTTGCACAACTTTGTGAAATCTTGTTGTGTTTGCTGAAATTGTTGTCATAGTACCTCTTTGAATCAGTACTTTCTTATTTTTAATCTTTATTTATTTGTTTGTTTTTTTAGGCAGTTGGGGTTAAGCTCAGAGTCACACAGCTAGTAAGTGTTAAGTGTTTGATCTGAGGCCGGATTTGAACTCAGGTACTCCTGACTTCAGGTTGGGTGCTCTATCCACTGCGCCACCTAGCTGCCCCTTGAATCAGTACTTTCAAAGATGGGTTCTTTAATAGGAAAAATATCTCCATGTGGAGCAATAGTAAACAAAGAACTGAAACTAACTCCTTGTTTCACTCTGATTCAGAAAAAAATGTAGCTCCTGACCTTCTTTAAAATTAAGCTGTTTGCCTATTAAAAGAGGGAATGATTTTAGAGATTTAAATTAGACTCCTAGGTTTATTTAAAGACTTTCCATCCCAACTGACTTCTGATCTTCTTTATAGAAAAGATTTCACCTTCTCACACAGTACATAATACTGCCAGTCTTGTGATGACTCCGCAAGGGCAAGTGCTCACCTTAAAGGGACCTTTAGTCTCAGGACCAATGGTAACTGTTTCTCCTGCTCTTCTACAAAGTGACTGAAGCCTCAAATGACCAACAGTGCTGTAGTTCAGCAAGGTATGTCAATGAAGAAATTTGTGTCTGACATCTCCCAATGGCCGAAGCAGCTTTTGCATCTGACAGTCTTTGGTCTTGCTAGCATTTATCCCATCAGGTGTGATCCTGTCTAGATGTAGTTTTTGCCTGATTTTGTCTTTGCAGTTTTTATTAATCTGGCCTCTTTTGGGCTTGCGGCTGATCGCCTTCAACATGAGAGGCAATATTTGAAATATCTACTAATTTACCAAAAGAGACTTGTTGGAATACATTACTATCTCCTGTGCTTTTAGGATCTCCAGTTAACATTCTGATTTTTAAATGTCAGTAAATATGTGAAATTAGGATTAGGTCCAACTTTAGTAGGTCATTTTGGGATGAAGGAAGAAAATTGGAAAAATACAGATAATGGGGAAAGGAAGAAGGACTGAAGAAGCTTTGGGGGGGTAGGCAATGGGGTTAAATGACTTGCCCAAGGTCACACATCTAGTAAGTGTTATGTGTAACACTTGAACTCAGGTCCTCCTGACTCCAGGGCTAGTGGTCTATCCACTGCACCACCTAGCTGCCCCAGAAGCCTTTCTTATTTACTTGTTACTATGCCAAAATTCCTCCGGGTTTGGTCATGTGACCTTGTGTATGTGCCTTTTTTGGCCTTCAGCCTCATCATGCAGGATTTTAAATGCTAAGCCACTTAGGGAAAATGAATGAACAATTTACACAGGACTTTGTTTACTTCTAGAATATGGATTTCCAATATCAGGGCTCTTGAACCTAAGAGGCAGATCATCAGGCAAATATAGGGGCTAGAAAGGGCTACTGTTCTAGTCAGCTTCTGGATATGCCAGTTCCTATCCAAATGAAAGGCATGTTCACCATCTCCTTAGTCCCAGTCATGCTCTCTTCTAGTGACAGTACCGCCAGGCCTTTAATGGTGACAGTAGCCTTGAACCTACTTTGGGTTAACAAGTCAGTAATTTGTGTTCTTTCATTGGGCTCTGTTTTTCCCTATGGAATGGGGTAAGCAAGACCGAGATCTGAGTGTCTGTCTTAGGATAAAAGAATGGATCCTTAGAACTAGCCAGGAGTGGGCTTAGGAGGCATGTCCTTAACATAGAACACTTAAGAACTTATCAAAATAGGATATAAGGAGACTGTCTTCAGGCCAGGGCTTAATTGACATTATTTTGTTGTTAGCCTTTGTCTAATATTCTAAGGAATGCTGCTATTTTCAGGGGACAAGTAGGTAGTGTATTGATTGAATGGTGGGTCTTGAATATAACTACTTGGGCTATTTAGTTGTTGTATTTAATAGAAGAAAACATGGATACCACTGCAGATCTTAATGAGTTCTTTTTGTCTTGGTTTTGCAGAAAGTGATGACTTGTTTATGATGCCCAGGATTGTTAATGTGACCTCACTGGCCACAGATGGAGGCCTCGGCTTAGATGTGGGTGCCAGCAAGCATTCTCTTGAAGGTTCTCATGCCAAGTCAACTGACCAGACTCTAAAAGAAACCATCAGAAATGAGAATACATCCCTGGAAGATCTGTCAAGAAACTCCTCTGGGAACAGTCACGGAGATGGGAGAATAGTGCCAAGGCCAACACAGGATTTTGTGGAAAACAAAGACATTAGTTTTCCACAAATAGTCAATGTTTCTAGTATGCGGACACCTCTAGAGACCTTATCCAGAAAAGTTTCTGGAGGAGTTGTGAGTGGGAGCCAATGTAGGAGGAAAGAGACTGAATCAGGAGGTGAGAGGTTGAAATTAAAGGAGATCCCATTTCGCAAACTGCAGGTGAAAGATCTTAAGGATTCAAGTATAGAGATAGAGCTGAGAAAAGTGGCCTCTGCCATTGAAGAAGCAACGCTGGACCCTAATGAGCTTCTGTCTAGCATGGAGGAGGAGGATGACACAGATGAGACACTCACCTCATTGCTCAATGAGATTACCTTCCTCAATCAGCAGCTAAATGATGACTCTTCCAGCATGACTGAGCCCCCCAGCTCCATAGGTGCAGAATTCCCTAGGTTGGCGAATGCCCGTCGGGCTGTTGCCAGCAAGCTGGCCTCTGGCAGTAGAGCCACTTTTCAGCTTGGCACCCTTGGGAGTAGTTTGAAAGAGCTGCCTGAGGTACAGGAAGCCAGTGGTTCCATCAGTCCCCTCCTCTTGCACCTGGAGGATGATGACCTTGCTGAGGGTGAAAGGCAACCTACAGAAACAGATGTCCTTAAGATTGTTATTGACCCAGAGATAAAAGAATCATTTTCTTCCCATAAAAGGCCCAGTGATGCTGGAAAAATGACCTCCAGCTTCCCAGCTGAGCCTGAAAACATGTCCTCACCCCCTATTCTTCATATGAAGACTGGACAAGAGAGCAGCAGCACAGATACTTTATGGAGGCCCATGCCAAAATTAGCACCTCTAGGGCTTAAATTAGCTAATCCTCCCAGTGATGTAGATGGACAGGGTCTTAAAGTGATGCCTTGCTTGGCACCTATAGTTGCCAAAGGAGCGCCAGTTGGGCTGAAAACTACAGTAGCAGGCCATAATGACCAAGAAGGACAGGAGAACAAAGTGATGCCGACGTTAGCACCTGTGGTGGCTAAATTGAGTAACTCTGGGCCCTCCTCTAGTCCTTCAGGCAAAATGAGGAAGTTTGTCCAGAAGCTAAGTGAAAAAGCCTGAAACTGTTAAGGCTGTAAAGGGAAAAAAACTGCCTCCTGCTCACTCTCTTTTCTGTAGGCATCTTCTTATTTTTTTGTCATGGGACTATGGTCCTTGAATTTGAGGGTGGGGTAAGTGATGGGAAGTGTTGGCCCTGGAATCAGTGCTATGAAATTCTGATCATGCTTAAGTTTGTTACCTCACTTTTGGTGCTGGGTTCCATTATTCTCTGGGGGAGGATCCATCGTTGCTGGACATAGGGAACCCTTTTTACCAAGGAATTTTTCCAAGCATGGGAAAGTAGCCCCTGATTTCTTCCTTCCAGAGAAAAAAAGCTGCTTAAAGCTGAGGAGCTGCTATGAATTCTGCTCCTGGTACAGTGAACTGTCTATGCAGATGCAGGGTTGTTTGTGTCTGAAGTTTCTGCAGAACCCAAGGAACTCGATGAGCTTGTGCAAAGGAATCCAGAGGAACTTATTGGTATACCAGGAGTTAGGGGGTGGAGGGAATAAATTCTGTGGAATACCAAAGGGAGGAATTTTCTCAGCAAAAGCTTCACTTTCCTCATATCATAAACTTCCACTCCAAAATCTTTTCTGCTATAAGCCCAAACCTTTCAGTAGAATAGGGAAGCTTTTAAATGTCTCAAAGCTAATTAGCCTAATTCATTTAATAGCTATATTCTTTCTCACTCTCCTAATGGGTTCCTAGATTAGCATTTTATTACCCCAGAAAATACCTCCTGGAGTACTCCTAAGGGTGTATATGGAAATCCTTTCATCCCTTCTCTGCCCTGGGTCACCCCAGTGACAACCCTGCTAAGATAGGTTTTGGTTCACGGAGGGTATGCTTTTTTCCCCAAGACAACAGCCAAAAAAAAATTGTGGGGCTGTTTGCTAGATCAAACTAGTCTCCTCTGCATACAAGAATGGTGCTTGGACAAGGTTTTGCTGCACTTGCACAGGGTTGTATAGCAAAAAAAATAATAATAATAAAAATTAAGTCATAGCAGACACTCATTACCAGGGAAATAGGGCAGTATTTGAATCACAAGATGTATTTTTTATTCTCTGCCACCATGGATTCAATGATATATAGAGCCTTTTCACTTATAAGCTATCAGGTTGTTAAGGCCTGGCAGCCTGTATAGATATTTATATTTTTGTACACAGTTGTTTTCATAGCTTCCTTAAAGGCTGAAGTTTTCAACCTAAGAGATGAGATTTGTAATGCGTATAGAAATGTTTTTTCCTATCTGGTTTGTAAATAAGTAGGAATCATGGTGCACTTGAGGGGTCTCTTGGAAACTCCTGGAAGTGAGAATCACTGCTCTGAAATTGTACTGACTCTGGGATCTAGCTGCTGCATTTTGCCTTTCTTACGTAATTGTATTTTGGAATGTAACCCTTGTCTTCACCACCTTCATTGGCAGGATTTCCTTGTGTTGTGGAACACTGGCACAAGAGCTTCCAGCTTTTGAAGCTCCTGGGCAGTGCCTAGGAGATGCTGTCTCTTTCCTCTCCCTTCTTCTCTTTACCCTGCATCCCACACAGCATATCTTCCCAAACTGGGTTTGTGAGGTTGTTTGATATGGTTTTGGCAGGTGAATTCTTTCTAACTTCTGTGTTTGGCATCCTTCCTGCCAGTCTTGAAAGAGTGGGATGTCTTCCCTGCAGTCTTATTATATACAAAGATATTGGCAAGGTAAGAGCCCAGTAAGTATAAATTCTTTGTTGGTCTTGTACTGTTAATGCTAAGACCTAGAAGTCATGAGCTCTGACCTCCTTGTTCCCAAATGAAGAAAGAAGTAGGTGAAGGATACCCCTTCCTCACCTTTTTTCCGCTTTCCATGTCCAAAAGATTTCATCCAATGCCTTAGCCAAGGAGACCAGCATCTGCCTCCCTTGCTTGTCCCCTCTTAACTGTTCCTCCTGCCTTCTCCAGGCTCCTTTGGTGGCTGTTAGTGGAGGGTCCACTCAGCAGTAACCGAAGGAATCATCCTCAGGATAAAAGGAGCATTTTAGACTCTAAACATTTTTCTTTCTCTTTCTTGGAAGAAAACAAATAACCTCTTCCTATCTGGAGGACATGTTTGGCTCTGGTATTGTGTAACTACACGAAGACTTGAATAGGTGGCCCGAGGTTCTCAGGAATAACTGCTGCAAATGGTGTACTACCCAATTGTGTAGTACTCTTGAGCTGCCTAATGCTAATATTTGGCAAGGACAGCTTGGGAAGGGCTCAGACTTCGGAGAGAAATAGAGTCTGCATGTCTTTTTCCTGTAACTTGCCAGCAATCTGAAATCTCCAAGGCCCCCTCTTCTCCCACTAATTTTAGTGGCTCCTCACTGATCCCAGACTTACTCTTATCCCAAGGGATTGAATGAAAATTACGTATGTGATTTATGAAAGATGTAGCTGTGTGGAGAGGGATTGTGAAATCAGGACAGTGGGCTTTCACCCCCACCCTGCAAAGAGCATGTTCTTGCTAGACCAAGAATCCTGTTTTTTTTTTATACATCTGTAAATAGATGGAATGTTTTTAAGAATATAATAATGTCAAATTTAGCTTTTCCTTTTATATATTAAAAATATAACTTTCCCTCTTTTCTGCTTTTGAAAAATGATTATTTTTTTAGAAATCTAACAATAGGAAATGTTTGGTGACTGACCTGAAATAAATCAATCATGTTAATTAAAGCAGGATCTGGTGTTGGGAGGTTTGTGCTCGTTTGGAGAGGGGGATGGAAATACTGAGACACACCTTAACACTGAAAGTTTATCTTTGACTGGCCTTTTTCTTGGAAACCTCCCGCCATACCTTTCGGGAAGAGTTTTGAGATACTTTAAGGTGTGGGTGACTTCAAAACTTCATATACCATTTATCTCAAGTATCTAGGTCTTAGAAGAAGTCTTTGTACCACGGTGAACTGAGGCTAGCAGTACGCAAAAGCACTGTTTTAATTGTGGCTTTTTGGAGTTGCAAAGGACATGGAAGACAACCTTTTTAAAAAAGTGAACAGGAATATCTTACTTTGATAAACTCACTATTATATTGCAGAAAATCTCTTCCCTTTGTAGAAAAGATTCACTGAAGAGTCCCTTTCAATATTGTGCTCCGTTAGTGCCTTTGTTTTGTGATCATTAACTACAGGTAACATGCCATTATGTGAATGCCATGCAAATATTTCTCTTTGTAGAATTTAAAAATGAACATATTGTTAGAAATGCTGTTTGAGAGCTGGAGGTCAAGTAGGTGATACCCAACCAGTAAAAAGTGTTTTGAACATAAAGGAAAGAGGGACATGTGTGGTTTGTTTGGGTTTGGGAATTTAGCTGGGGTTTTCTGGAAGAGCTGGTTGAGATTGAGAAAGAGATGAGGTAAGTTGAAGGATAAATGTTGTTTGAGGACAATCCAACATACCTGACTCCTAAGAAATGTACCCTGTGATAAGGAACACAAGATCCTATTACCTTTTTAAAAAGTGATTTAGATGGTGAGAGACCACTGAAGACATTCAGGATTATTCACTCAGCAAACTAATCATTGCAAAACATGAAGCTGCTATTAATACTTTCATGTAATGGTATTATCACTAGTGAAATTTTACCAAGATGCTAGGATGTAGAGAAACTTTTTTGTAGATGTGATTCTATTTTTGGTATAGTTTTAGGAATGTAACATTTTCAATCATTTAAATATTAAATTTTTTATTAGTACTTTTAAAAAACTTTATTTATGAATATATCACTCCCCCTACTCCTATTCCTCTATTGTAAGAAGGATTACAAAAGAAAGAAAGAAGGCAGTTCAGTCACAACCCACTGATGATAGCTCACAGTATATGCAATATTTCACACCCCTAGCCCATAACCACTAATGCTGAGAACTTTTAAAATGTTAAGAAACAGGATCTCAAGAGCTGAAAAGGGTCTTCAGGGCCATCAGGGAGAATCCATACTACAGTATCCCCACCTAATGATTAGCTTTCATTTAAAGAATTCAAGTGAGAGAGAATCCATTAATTCCAGAGTCAGTCCATTCCTTGTTTTCTAATCATTAGGTCTTCCTTACATTGAGTTGGGTTGTAGACTTTATCCTCCCCAGAGTCAAGAATTGTCTCATTTAGGTATTTGTATCTTAAAAGCACCTAGCAAAATGCCTGCGCTTAATAATTACTCATTGATTGAAAAGCACAGTTTTGCCACCTGAATTTGTTAGACTAGTCTTGCTTTCTGGAACTATCACTCACTGGTCCCATTTTTATTCTGTGGGTCGAAGTCTAATCTCATTTCTTTATGACAAGTCTAAAGATACTTAAAGATATCCATCATTTCCCCCCTTGTATCCCACCCCCCAAAAAAAAAAGTTTTCCAGACTAAACCTCCAACAGAATCTCAAGGCTGTTTCTTATCCTAGTCACTCTTCTCTGTGTGGGTTCTAGTTCATCACTGTCCGAGTTAAAATGAAGCACCTAAAACTGAACCTGTCTATCCAAAGACCTTTGGGAAAGATCTTTGGGTTTTATACAGATGTTCCCTACCAGAGCAAAATAAAATGGGATAATTACCTGCTTCAAAAGCAGATTAGGTTCGGATTAAAAAATTTTTTTTTAAACCGCATCATACAGTTGTTAATTCATTCAGCTTGGACTCTACTAAAACCCCTAGTTCTTTTTTAGACAAACAACTATGTAGATGCTCTACCATTTTGTACTTGAGCATTTTGATTTTTTTGAACCCAAGTTTAATACTTTACACTTAGGCCAATTAAATTTCAGTTGTTCTACCCTGTTTTATCTTTTTGAATCTCACAACTTTGTCATTTGGAAGCTAGTTGTAATCCCAGCTATGGTTTAATTTAAATTTTCATTGATCTTTTGTTTTTTGTATGATTGAAGTTTTCCCCTTGTAAAATGCCTTTCAGAACCATTCCAAGTAAACATAGTATTTTATTTTTCCTAACAGAAAGGAAAAAGTCAACACAATCATTACATTGAAAAAATGGAAAAACTTGTTGCAGTATCTCTTCTTTCAAATGATACTTTTCTTCATAATTTTGCAATGTTCATTTTTTTATTTGCATGTAGTTATTCTTTCCGTTTACATTGGTGGTTGTCATTGTGTATGTTGTTTTCTTGGCAGTGCTTGCTTCTTCATCACCTAGATCTTTCTCTGTATTTATCACATCATTTCTTACAGTATAGCAACCCATTTATGTACCACAATTTATTTAGCCATTCCTTAAATCAAAAGGCATCTACTTTGCTTCCAATTCTTTGCTATCACAAAAAGTGGTACAATATTTTGTCATATATGGGAAATTTCTTATCAATGACCTTGGAATAAGGTCAGTAATGGAATCTCTGGGTCAAGGAGTATGGACATTTTAGTCACGTTATTTGCTTTTCTAAGTTGCTTTTTAGAATGGTTGTGCCAATTCACAGCTACACTAAATGTGCCTGTCTTCCTACAACTGGTTTCATTTAAACCACAGATGATAAAAATTGACCATTACAAAGCAAAAGACAATTCTCTGCCACTCCACTATAGAAACCCCCAACCATAGCTGAAATTGCTTCATAGTTGCCTAGCTGTTCAGTCAGTTCCAAATCCACCTAACTGTACTGTCACTTAGTCTGCATCTTACTACCTTGGCCACAAGTCTCCTGTCAGATTGTGTCTGTGGTATATAGACTACCTGTCGTGATCAGAAGTTCATTCTTTTCCAAGTATTGCTGAGCAAAAGGACCATCTCTTCCCCCTCATTAAAAGAAGTTGGGCACAGTGATGAAGAATGAAAAAGTGTTTAATTCTTTTATCTGCAACACCACAGAACTGAATGGGGCCTAGATATGAGTGGTGTAGTGAGGAGTTGATTCTCTTAATTCAGTGTTCAATGAGCTATTATTTTTTTTTCCCCTAGCTAGGCAGTGGGGTTAAGTGACTTGCTCAGGGTCGCAGCTAGTAAGTGTCAAGTGTCTCAGGCCGGATTTTAACTCCGGTCCTCCTGACTCCAGGGCCTGTGCTCCATGTACCCCCCCCCAAAAAAAAAGTCTAGCCCTGAAGGAATTTGTATTTTATGAGGGGAGTTGTTCTCCAGGAGTGGGGAACCTTTGCCCTCGAGGCCACATGTGGCCTTCTAAGTCTTGGGGTGCAGCCTTTTGACTGAGTCCAAATTTTACAGAACAGATCTTTTAAGGGGATTTGTTCTGTGAAGTTTGGATTTAGTCGAAGGGTCAAGCCTGAGGACCTAGAGGGCCATGTGTGGCCTGGAGGCTGAAGGTTCCCTACCCCTGTAATAGACCAAGTTTTGCCTATACAAAAAGAAATGAGGAATGGGAAAAACGTATACAAATATTTTTGTTAATCTCAAATGGGTCCCTAGGTAGCAAGGCAATTAGCTTACTCCTAATTGATTCCCTAGTCCATGCTGAATTGAAGCTGTACTAGGCTCCCATCAAACCCTGTCTGTGGGTTGAAGATTTTACCTCAATACTTTACTGAAACTATCTGATTTCTTCACATCTCATAATCCTTTAAGGTAATTTACTACTATTCTTTTAGTCTCTGAAGAGGTCTCTGAAGAGAGCCCTCTACGTGTACTCAAGTACGTTACTTTCTGTCTTGCAGATTTCTGCATGATTTTAACTTTTCTATAGACCACTCTGAAATCTCTAATCTCCCGTATGTAATGTTCCTTTCCCTGCTGCCCAAGTCTTCTCTAGACTTAACCCTCCTTAAAGTTATTTTCCTATCTTTCCTGTTTTCAGTGAGATTCGTAAGAATAAATTAAAACTTTCAGTGGCCCCTTTTTCTCACTTCTCAACCCTTTGAAATTTGGATTCTGGCCTCATCACTCAGCTGAAACTGCTTTCTCCACAATTAATTTTTTAATTTTCTTAATTGCCAGATCTAATGGCTTCAGTCCCCATTGTTGACACCTTTGTAGTGTTTGACACTTGTCCATCTCCTGTGGATTTTAATGACACTACTCTCCTGATTTTTGGACTACTCTGTTACCTTTCCCAGATCATCATCTACACCCCACTTCCCAACTCTGTGTAACATAAGACTTTGTCTTAGGCCCTTTTTTCCACACTCTTCATTTGGTGACTTCAACACCTGTGGGTTTCATTCTCTATGTGCAGAAGTTTTCCAGGTCTATACATCCAAGCCTCTTCAGCCACCTAGGTGGTATAGTGGATAGCATTGCTGGGACTGGAGTCAGGAAGGTGAGTTCAAGTATGACCCCAGACACTCTGAGCATGTCATTTTAATATGCCTCAATTTCATTAATGGCAAAGTAGGGACAATAATGGCACCTGTTCAGGGTTATCCTGAACCAATGAGGTAATTGCGAAAAGTCACTTAGTGTAGTTCCTGATGGCAGGCACTTTAAAATGATTTTTCTATCCCTTCCCTGGTCTCTTTGTTGAACGCCAGTCCCAAAACAATAAGCTGTTTTCAACTGGATGTCCCATCTCAAGCTCAGTGTGTCCAACGTAGAACTCTTCCCTCCATCTCCCCCCCCCCGGCCACCCATTCTGAACCTCATTCCCTAAAGAGCACTGGCAGCCATCTAGTCATTCAGGTCCACAGCCTTGGAGTCATCTTCAGCTCACTCTTCCTTACCTAATAAGCTAGCAGGTCTTAGTGCCTCTACCTTTACAGGATGTCTATATGAAGTCTTTCCTGTGCATCTCCCCCAAGTTGCTAGTGCTTTCCTGTCCAGAATTCCTTTGTGTTTATTTGATGTATTTTGGGGGTAGGTTTTTGGCTTTTTGTTTGTGGTATATGATATGGAGCCCGAAGAAATAGATTTAAATATCAGCCTTGACCCAGTGGGTCACCATGAGTAAGGCATTGAACCACTTTGAACCTCACTTCCCAGGACTAATTGGCAAAATCATTCAAATAAAGATTGAAAATTTTGTAAAGGCAGTAGGAAGTGATTGGTTATGCACACTAAGCACCAAAATTCTGGACTTGGGAACTACTATCATTTTCACTAATCCTTTTCTTAAACTTTACTGTGTTAGGTGAGTTCCTCAATGTGTCTGAAAGCCTTTTACAAGATGAAGTCTTTGTGATCACAAATATTGATCAGCGTTGTCCTGTAGGAGCTCAATAAACATTCGTCAAGCCAGGAAGTGACTGTTGACTACAGCCTTCAGTTTTCCTAATTCCAGCAAACCGATACTGCTCTTCATAGTATGAGTTATCAACATTTGTGTCTGTTCAGATACAATGCTAAGCAAAATTATGTGAAGTCTGTGCCAATACGTTTGAA